GCAACGTTTCGATGAAGTCTCATTCATCATCTTCAGGCTTCTGTCTTTGGCTCTTGCTTCTCAGAGTGATTCTTCAAACGTTGCCTAGATACTTCGAATCTTACGCGGGAGAAAACCCGAACAACCAAAGATCCACATACAAATACCCGCGAGAACCTCAGAAAACAAATATATATATGTATATGTATGTATGTATGTATGTATGTATGAATGTATCTGTATGTATCTGTATATATATATATATTAAAAAAAAATTTTACTAAAGGGAGCCTCTATTCTAAAAAATATAAATAGTCAAAAAGGAGAGAAAGAATAGGTAGATATAAGAGAAAAAACCAGTCCAGTTAACAATTGCTAAATTGTGATAGAAGTTCAGTAAAAAAAAGTAAAAGTAAAAAGCCAAGCCTCACTTTGACATTTCTCTTTAAAAAATCGCCGCTAAGTCAGTTTTGTCGAAAATCTTACAGATTTCTTCTCCTTCTTAGGGTGTCCTTAAGTCCCAAATATTAATAAAAAAAAAAGTCCTCACCAACCGATACACTTTCTCTTTCTGCCTCTTCCTTCCGGAGCTGTCCCAGCTTCAGCAGCTTAAGGGCTGCCTCTCCGCCGATGGTAGAAGGGCTTCTCCTGGATCGAACAGGGACTTTGCGGTGTCCCTGGGATCAGCAGGATGCGCCCCTTGCCATCACCGTCTCTACGGGACGGTTTAGGTCCGTTGGGACTGACCAGGGGCGAAGATATCAGCTGGGATCTCGGAACCCCGAGACTGCAGCTGTATCACAGCGACATGGCTCCACCCTTCTCCAGGAACTTTAATGGGCGAAAACTTCGGTGCTAGCTTCGCCTTCCTGCCACCGTTTGTCTTTTAGTAGAAGAATTCGAATGGAGTTGGGAATCTTTCTTTCCTAGACAACCAAGGCTGGGCAGGGCCGAAACTGAACTCGGTTGCTTTCTTGCAGATGTTTCGTTAAGCAACAATTGGGCAACATCAACAGTGCTAGAAGGGAGCACCAGAAGGAAATCCCTCCTCCTTTCTAGCACTGATGATGTTACCTAACTTGGTAATGAAACGTCTGCAAGAAAACCACCCGGCTCAGACAGCGCCAAGGACCCTTCCGTGGCAACCCTGAGCCACAAATATTCATTCCCCTTTACGGACGCCTCTCAAAGTCATCGGGGTTACTGCGTTACCGAGCTTGATAGGTCTGGGATGACGAGAGGGACACGGTGAAGTATTTCCTTAGGGGCCTTTGCCTGCAAAGGATCCAACTTCTGAATGTGGGGTTTCCATGGAGGGGATCAAAAACCACAGCGGGGCACCGGGCACCCCAACGCCTCCCAGGGAACGATCCAGTCGGCATTAAGTGGCTTACGTTCTTGTAAACCTTCAGGACCACGGGGGAAGGGTGGAAATCCAGCTGGAACTCATCCACTAAGACCGAGAGTTTCCGGATCTCTTCCGCCATCGCGTTGGAGACCTGGGAAAGGAAATGACAACCGGGCTGCACTGCCTCTCCTTTACAAGAAAGCGAACCCCCACCGCCAAACGCAAAAGGGAGGAAAACCGCATCCGCAAATGTTTGTCTTCTGAAGCCCAAATCGGGGTGCCCGAGGGCAGCAGGGACTAGCCCCGATAAAGATGCTCTTGAATCCCAGCTTTTCAGTTTCTTTGTTGCCGGAAAGGCACGCTCGGGTGTTTCCTGCTGGGATGGTCTTTCCTGCGAGGAATCGGCGGCATTAAGCCAGGCTTTGAGTTCGGGGCAGGGGCCTCACCTGGCGCTCCACCTCTTCCGTGATCTCCTTGATTTTCAACTTGTAGCTCTGAGTGAGCAGGTCCAGCTGTTTCTCTATGAATCCCAGGCGCTCCTGGCGGTCATCCCACTTCTCCAGGCAGTAAACCCTGCGAGGCAGAAGGAAGGAAGGGAGGGAGGGAGGGAGGAATAAGCAAGGAGGGAAAGGAGGAAGGAGGAGAATGGGAGGGTGGGAGAAAGGAAGGAATAGGCAGGGAGGAAGAGAAGGAAGGAGGGGAATGGGAGGGAGGAAAAGAATAGGGAGGGAGGGAGAGAAAGAATAGGGAAGGAGGAGGGAGGGAGGAAGGGAAGGAACAGGGAGGGAGGGTGGAAGAAAGAAAGAAAGAAAGAAAGAAAGAA